AGACCTCTCCTGACCCGCCCGCTGCTCCCCTCAGCAGTGTACTTTGTCGATCTGCCTGTTCTGCACCCCACTCTGTCTCTGGTGAGTCCTTTCACCCTCCGCATCTCTGGCCTGTACCCCAGTTCTGTATGAATAAATAAATAAATCTTTAAAAAAAAATTGAATAAATAACCTTCATTTAAACAGGCCCATCTGCCAGTCCCTCAGGCACCAGGTATCCCCTTGCCATCCAAATATTCTGACTTGTTTGCTGATGCCTGAAATTCCTTTAAACAAAGAGGCCCTCCCTGGTGGCTCAATGGGTTAAAGCCCAGCACTGCTAAGCTATAAGCAGCTGATTCAGCACCAACTTGATACCCAACCAGGGATGTGATCCACATGGCACAGCAGACCTCCCCTGCTCCCCACAAAGCAGTGTGCTTCATCAGTCGGCCTGTTCTGCTCCCCACTCTGTCTCTGGTGTCCTTTTACCTTCCCCACACCTCTGGCCAGTACCCCAGTTCTGTATGCATAAATAAATAAGTCTTTTAAAAAAAAAAACCAAGGAGAAAAAATATTTTCACTCATACTCAAAGGAAAAATGATAAAAATGCAAAGGTCTGGCTAAGATAATACTGAGCTTAGCTAACTTTCAGTTACTCAACCTGCCAGGGTCCAGTCAGACAGACATCTCTGGAAGAGAGGAACTGATGATTTATTGAAGTCTATTAGACAGCAGGCCAAAACCCACAGATATTAAGTAGATTTAAATCGATTTGTGTAATTTCCAATGTCTTAATCAATAAGCACTCACTGAGCAATTTAGGAAATAAACCTGAGGATGGCATCTCTCAGACATTCCCCTGTGTTCATAGCGGAAGAATTTAAAAGCAGGAGACGTTGGGTCATCATTATCTGGTGATAAGGTCATAAAAGATGGAAAAATAAAAGAGGTCAGGACACAACAGCAGAGAAAGCATAGATTTCAGCACTAACTACAATCATGTCTATGCTTTCATGAAAAAGACAAGCAACACACATTATAAACCAGCTGTTAAAGATCAGACTCTGGATTGACACTGCCTGGATTTAAATCCTAGGTTTACCACTTACAGTTATCTGATGGGGCAATAACTTAACTGCTCTGTGCATCAATGTTCTCATCCTTAAAATGGGTACCTACACCGATTTCATTGAGATAAGAATCAAATATATTAACAGAAGGAAATGCTTAGCACAGTAGTTACTCATAGTGACTATTATGTAAATATTAACTACTATTACTATTACTACAGCTACTATTCTTATTCTTATTATGGTCTGAGGTATCTGGCCTGAATCTTTCCATCAGGAAGCCCCATGATTACACAGCAGTACCTTTTTTCCAGGAGAAAAACCACTAAGGGCAGCACTGCTATAAACAAGGGCACAAGTGAAGAAAGAGTACACTAACATAAAAAATTCATAATTTACTCAGGGAATAACTAAATAGATGAGATGCTGGACTTCTTAAGTCTCAATCTGTGTTAGTGTTTTCTGGTTATCGAGTTATTCTTCATACCCTAAGAGAGGAAACATTACATAATGTCTCATTATGTAATGAAACAACATAAACATGTGTCTTCTGAACGCTGCTGACTGTTAAAACAACTTGGGTGGTGGAGAATATGACAATGTTAGCTTATATCAAGCTTTCAGACACTCATGCTTAATATAACAAAAGAGTAACAGCAAGAAGAACATTCACATTAAAATCCCATGATTTCAAAATTTAAAAGTTGGGAGGAGAGACTCTACACTAAGGTGAGAATATGGTGAGCATCTATATCAAAGTTAGTCTTTGATTTCTAGGAAAAACTATTTAGATATATGACCATAGAAAATACATCTCAGAACAGACATACAGAGCAATGGAATCAAATAGAAAACCCAGATATAAATCCACAACTTCATGGACAGTGAATCTTTGACAAAGGAGCAAAGAATATGCAATTCAATGAAGAAAATTTGTTTAACAAAAAAGTTTGTTTAAAAAACTAGGCTGCTACATACAAAAAAAAATAAAGCTAGATTACTACCTTGCACCATACACAACAGCAACTCGAAATGGATTAAAGATCTAGACATAAGACCTGAAACCATAAAATATATAGAAGAAAATACTGGTGAAACACTATACAACATACACCTAAGTAACATCTTTAAAGATACATCACCCAAAGCAAGGACAGTGAAAGAAAGGATAAACAGCTGGGACTACAACAAACTCAAGAGCTCTGTACAGCAAAAGAGACACTACATAAAACATATACCTCATGGACTGGGAAAAAATTTTCTCACATAATACAAATGATAAAGGACTGATCACAAAGATATACAAAGAGCTGACAAAACTCAACAAATATAAAGTGAACAATCCCATCAAATAATGGACAGAAGAGCTACAAAGACACTTCTCCAAAGAAGAAATAAAGATGGCCAATAGGAATATGAAAAAATGTTCAGCATCACTTGTCATAAGGAAAATACAAATCAAAACCACATTGAGATACCATCTCAGACCAGTGAGAATGGCACAGATTAAAGTAACAAGCAACAGGGCCCTCCGTGGTGGTGTAGGGTTAAAGTACAGCACTAAGAAGCTTAAGCCACTTCCACATGAGTTCGATCCCCGCTTGCCCTGGAGATTCACATGGCGTGGCAGACCTCTCCTGACCTGCCCGCTGCACCCCTCAGCAGTGTACTTCATCAATCTGCCTGTTCTGCTCCCCACTCTGTCCCTGGTGAATCCTCTCACCCGCTGCATCTCTGGCCTGTACCCCAGTTCTGTATGAATAAATAAATAAATCTTTAAAAAAAAAAAAAAACAAGCAACAATAAATGTTGGCAAGGTGTGGAGAAAAAGGAACTCTCCTACACTGCTGGTGGAATGCAAACTGGTGCAACCACTATGGAAAACTGTGTGGAGGTTTCTCAAACTGCTAAAAATGAGGCTCCCATATGATCCAGCAAATCCACTCCTAGGTATTGACAAAGGACACAAAAACAATAATTCAAAAGGACAATGTTTACTGCTGCCCTGTTTACAATAGGGAAGATGTGGAATCAACCCAAATGCCCAAAATAGATGACTGGATCAAGATGTGGTACATATACACAATGAAATATTACTCAGCAATCAAAAACTTATGCCATTGTGGCGACATGGGTGGAACTGGAAAAGATCATGCTTAGTGATATATGCCAGAAAGAAAAAGAAAAGAACTGGATGTTTTCACTCATAGGAGTGTAAGGGATCAGTGGGGGGAGGGGGGTTATATATATAGTAATTGTAATAAAGTAAAAAAGAACATCAACTAACAACTATAAACCAGACACATTCCATGAGGGAGGAGAGGGCAACAAGGTCAAAACTGGGGTGGGAAGAACACATGGGACTATGGAGATGGCACATGGGTGAAGTGGTAATTGGAAGTCCATGGGGATCACAACTGAGATGAAACAATATACAAAATGAAGAATAATGTAAATTTGTATTTATATATAGATTTTTAAATGCAACAAAAAATAAAATAACATGAAATAAAAAAGAAATTTGTCTAATACAAGAAATAGATAATATAAATTTGATTTGTTGTAGGATAGGCTTGATTTCATTTTATTTAACAGAGGGAGTAGGGGAGGAAGACATAAAAGATACACTGTCTCTCATAGTGATTCACAAAAAGCAAAAAAATTCTTGGTCTCTGAATTTTTAAGACTGACTTCTGAGAGGTATTTTATTTATATCTACTTACCAAGAGGAGACCTTATAAGGAGAACCTACTTTGTATCAGGTATAAACAAGGTAGGATATATAAATTATCCAAGTTAATCTTCCTAACATCCCTGTAAATACTGCCAAGAAAACTGAAGCAAAGATAGATAAATGTCTACAAAGTAAAACTTCCTATCAAAGATGGAATAAACTCTGAACTATTTTTAACCAGAAACCTGTGTAGAACTTATGCACTCCACTATACCGCCAAGGGCCTGACAGATATTTTAACATGTACTTGCTTGAATGTTAATGTCTGCCCGCAGAAGTACGTTGGAGCACTGGAGTAGAGGACACCTGATGATTCTGAATCGTTCCGGAGTGCTATATTTCTTCGACTGCTCAGACTGTACCCTTCAAAGCCAGCTGTCCATTCTTTTACAAAAAGCAAAGATATTGAAAATTGTTTAGAATATTCTGAGGAATATCTTTAATACAGAAACATTACAAAAAATTGAAAGTAGAAGTGTCTGCTTTTATGGGCAAGCTTAATAAACAGTAATTATGATTTATCCTACAAATCACACAAAAAAGACTGTAGCCATTCTTACACAATTTTGATGTGCAAAATTAAATAAATGTTACCTCCTATCAAATAAAATCATAGTTAAAGTATAACTACTTAGTTCATTCCAGCCAGATTAAGAATTAATGAGACTAAATGTTTTAAACTAGTAATATGCAAGAGATCAATTCCAAATCATAAATTTTAAGAAAATATGTAGCCCCTAATATTTATATTAGATATTTATAGACAGATTTATTATAGCAACATATAATACAGTACTTAAGATATGTAATAGGGCCCTTCCTTGTGGAACAACGGTTAAAGTACAGTATTGTGAAGCTTGCAGCAGCTGCTTCAGCAGGAGCTCAATCTGGGCCAGGGAGGTGACTCATATGGCACTGCAGACCTCTCCTGATCTGCCTGCTGCTCCCCTCAGCAGTGTATTTTGTCATCTGTCTGTTCTGTTCCCCTCTCTGCCTCTGGTGAATCCTTTCACCACTTCTGCATCTCTAGCCTGTACCCCAGTTCTGTATGCATAGATAAATCAATCTTTTAAATAAGTAAATAATAAGTAAATAAAATGTGTAATATACCACCCAAATTGCGCCCTCTTTGGTGGTGCAATGGGTTAAAGCACAGCACTATGAAGTGTCCACAGCCACGCAGCATAGGTTCAATCCCAGCCAGCCAAGTGACCCACATGGTGCAGCAGACCTCTCCTGCCTCGCCAACTGCTCTCCTCAGAAGTATATTTCAGATAGTCTGCCTGTTCTGCTCCCCACTCTGCTGTCTCTGGTGAATTCTCTCACCCCATCCCACCCCCAACTCTGGCTTGTACCCCAGTTCTTATATGCATAAATAAATAAAAAAATCTTTAAAAAAAAATTTTTTTTAATTTAAAAATATTTGTTTTTAGGAGATGCTAAATTCCTATCTGGCAGTATTTCTGGACTCTGGAGATGAAAATTGCTCAAAGTCACATGAAGTAACTTAAACAAGAAGCAAAAGACATGTTCCAAATAATCCCATCAATTCAGGATTCACAGTTTAAAAAAAGGGGGTTGTCAACCCACTGCCACTAGCTCAGAATACAAGTGTTCTTGTTCACAGTTAGCTCTCAGGGGTAGGAAGAAAAGAGCATACCATGAGGCACCAATGTGGAATGACCTATCTGCGGGACGCTCCAGGGACTCCATTCCTGCCGGCCATCTCCTCGGGCGCAGACTCGAAACTGATAATCAACATGAGGGTCTATGTGCAATACTATGAATTCAGTTTCAGAGCCAACATACACATCTTCAAAGTGATGGGAAGTGCATTTACGGAACTGGAGCCTATAATCTTGGGCGGTAAAGTCGTCATCCACCTAAGAAGAAAAATTAAAGAATAAATGGGAAAAAAACTTATTAGTTAAGTAAAAGAATAACCTCTCTCAGCCTCACTGTGTAAGAACTTTGAATGGGGACATACAGGTCAAGCAGACAAAGCCCACCTGCTGAATATGAGTGATTTCAGGAAGACCACAGGAAACATGCTATCATTACTCTCCTCCATGAACAGTATATTTTATATTTCTCAGTCTGATATGGAAAAAAATCTACTTCCTTTAAAGAAACAGCATATCTTCTACACAACAGTGTCAAAGATTAAATATTAAAAATTCACAGGTACTAATCCCACAACTGCATCACTAATATAATCAAGAGAATTAACAGCCAGAACCTATAAGGAATGCCTAAAAAATTAATAGAAGACAAACCACCTAATAGAAGAATGGGCAAAAAGCACAAATAAGCACTTTAAAGAGAAAGAAATATAACCAGCAAAATAAAGATATAAAAATATTCAAGTTAATTTGTAATATAGAAAATGTAGTAATCCAAACCCACAGTAAGATGTCATAGCGGCAAAAATAGAAAGTGATAATGCCAAATGCTGAGCAGCATACAAAGCACAGGAAGTTGTAAGTACAGGAAGATAATCTGGTACAATTACTTTGGTTACTGTATTTCCTGGAAGAGCAAAGCCAATACTCAAAAACTGTATAATTTCATGACTAGGTATAAACTTTAAAGAAAAACCTTATATGTGCCCATAAGGAAACATAAGTAATAACACTTATAGCAAAAAAACCAAGAAAGCCAAATGGAAACAACTACAGGTCAACAACAACAACAAAAAAAACACAGAATAATCCTTATCTTGGGCCTCCCTGATGGTGCATGGGGTTAAGTCTCAGCACTATGAAGCTATCAATAGCCACTGCAGAACACGTTTGATGTGGGAGCTGACCCACATGGTGCAGCAGCCCTCCCCTGACCTGCCTGCTGCTCCCCTCAGCAATGTATTTCTGTTAGTCGGTCTGTTTTGCTCCCCACTCTGTTTCTGGTGAATCCTCTCACCCCCCACACCTCAGGCCTGTAATCCAGTTCTTGTATGCATAAATAAATAAAATACATCTTTAAAGATTTTTTTTTATACAGAATTGGGGTATAGGCCAGAGGTGCAGGGATGGTGAGAGGATTCAACAGAGGCAGAGTGGGGAACAGGACAGGCAGATTGACAAGTACACTGCTGAGGGGAGCTATTTTTGAACCAATAAAAGTATCTGTTCTTTCTTCTACACCAAGGTCTTATATTTAAACATTTCATTTAAGAAAATAAAAATAGTTTCTAAAAGCTGAGCACCCACCTCAGAATGATGTATTTGCTAACAATGGCCAAGATACTATGACTCATTTGGACACGGTTTCTATCTAAAATATGGTAAATCATACATTATATGATGTTAACACAGAAAATTCTTGGCAATGCTGAGTGTGTGAAAAAATCACACTTCAAGAATTTTATTTCAGAAGATTTTTAGGTCAATGTTAAACAGCAAAATATCCAACTCCAAACATTCATGATCATCTTCTGACTTTTCTAATACACAGGAATGGGAAAGACCCTTAACTCAAGAGTTAGCTTTGAAACAATATATGAGAATATGATGGGAGACAATGTGATATAAAGGTTTTAAAAATGTTCCAAACTACCCAGACTATTCACCTCAAACTGAAAGAACTACTTCACATCAGATTCCCTGGGTCAGCATTTTAATTGCAAAGCAAAGGAATTTGTGCTTATGAATAAAAGAAAATATTCAAAGACAATTAAAAAATGTCTAAGGCAGACTCTTCCTGGTGGCACAACAGGTTAAAGCACCACATTATGAAGGTCTCCGAAACCACTGCAGCATAAGTTCAATCCCTGGCCAGGATGCTGACCCACATGGCGAGGCAGACCTCTTCTGACCTGCCATCTGCTACCCTCAGCAGTGTACTTTGTCAATCTGTCTGTTCTGCTCCCCACTCTTGTCTCTGGTCAACCCTCTCACCCACCACACCTCTGGCCTGTACTCCAGTTCTGTAAGCATAAATAAATAAATCTTTAAAATAAAAATGTGTAAGGCGGGCCTCCCTGGTAGCCTTAGAGGTTAAAGCCTAAACCACATGTTGCAGCAGACCTCTCCTGTCTCACCCGCTGCTCCCCTCAGCAGTGTACTTCAATCAATCTGCCTGTTCTGCTCCCACTCAGTCTCTGGTGAATCCTCTCACCCCACCTCCACTTCTGGCCTGTACCCTAGTTCTTATATGCATGTATAAATAAATATTTTTTAAAACTTTAAAGGCCCCCAGGGCCTTCCCTGGTGGTGCAACGGGTAAGGACACAACACTGCAAGCTAGCTGCAGCCTCTTCAGTACAAGTTCAATCCCTAGCTCTGGAGGTGATTCACATGGCATGGCAGATCTCTCCTGACCCGCCCACTGCTCCCCTCAGCAGTGTACTTCATTGATCTGCCTGTTCTACTTTCCACTCTGTCTGGTGAATCCTCTCACCGCCCCTGCACCCCACTTCTATGTGCATAAATAAATAAATTTTAAAGAAAATTTAAAGGCCACCAAATCTTCATGTTGAAGCCACTTTGACAATTCTGAATTACGTACCTTACACCATCGTACTATGATGCCTCCAGGTTTTTCTATTAGTTCTTCTATCTGTACTGGTGGGCGAGATGCTACTGTTCCATGCTTAAAAATGTGGTCTTTCACAATGTTAAGAATTGAGTCATCCAGCTGAGCAGATAAACAAGGCACATCAACCAGTAAAGGCACTTCTGGTAAGCTAAAGAAACAAAGCTCATGTGTTTATGAGGGTTTTGCTGAGTAAGACATACAAGGATTACCTAAGATCAATTACATACTGTACAAATGCTGAAGCCCCCCATAAAAAATGCTAATTGCAGTGTGGGTTTTGCAAAATGTATGATGCATAAAGATCCTCTTTCCAAATAAATATAAGAAAGAAGACAGAAAAGTGATAGGATCATGGCTGGCAAATTTAGACCAAAAAATCTGTTTTATTGAGATATGACTAAGTTCTATGATATGTTCAGGATTTTTAAAATCTAACAATTCTTTTACACACATTAGAATTGAAAAAAGTCTAGAATAGGACCCTCGCTGGTGGCACAGCATTATGAAGCTATCCACAGCCATTGCAACACAAATTTGGTCCCCAAGTAGGGAGGTGTCCCACATGGTGTGGCAGAACTCTCTTCACCCGCCTGTTACACCCTTCAGCAATGTATTTCTGTAGACCTGCCTGTTCTGCTCCACACTCCGCCTCTGGTAAATTTTCTCACTCCCTGTACCTCTGGCCTGTACCCCAGTACTTGTATGCATAGATAAATCTTTCACAAAAAAAAAGTCTAGAGCAATACTACACTAAAGATTACAAACACAACTATGTTAAACCAGTAATACTAGTAAAGACAGTGAAATTTTGAAAGATATATTCTCTATCTTCCTTAATCAGAACCTTTAATGAGGAAAAAAAGCAGACAACTAAGTACTTGAATGCTCAAAGGCATTCTTACCTGTCCAACTGAATGTGAGAGGCCTTTTTGGTAAAGTTCCACAGCTTTTCATTTTGTTCTCCTACACCACCAAGAATAGCGATTTCACCTACAATCAGGAATAAGAGAACTATAGTTTAGTGAAAAATGGTCACATCATAAAGCAATCAATACAACCCATAGCTCAGTGGGCTCCTGTTTTTCTTGCAAACATCTCTTGAGTGATGCCACAGAATTCTCAAAAGGTAGAAGCAGAAAGTTACTGAAAGCTCAAGATCAAGAGGAAAAAGAATATATAACCGCAACACTTTGCCTGAGATGAAAGATTCTGCTCAATACAAGGAAGTCGTTTGTCAGCCAACTTTATGCAAAAAAGAGATCTGGGACTTTTTTTTTTTTTTAAGATTTATTTATTTATGCATACAGAGCTGGGTACAAGCCAGAGGTGCAGGTAAGAGGATTCACCAGACAGAGTGGGGAGCAGAGTAAGCAGATCAACAAAGTACACTGCTGAGGAGAGCAGCAGGCGAGTCAGGAGAGGTCTGATGTGCCATGTGGATCACCTCTGGGGCAGGGATCAAATCAGTGCTGTGCTTTAACCTGTTGTGCCATCAGGGAGGGCCTGGGATACTTTTTATACAAAACTTTTATCAACTCCGAAGAGAGCTAGCAAAAATATTAACCTGATTGGAGCTACAACAAATAGAGGCTTAAAAGGCAAAAAGTTGTATTTTCTAAAAGAATATAAAACTTCAGATTAGAAAGCACTCAACAGAACAATACAGAGAAAATGCTATGTAAGGGTGTGGGAAAAAACCCCAGCAACTTCTATGTCATTCCACAGCCCTGAAGAATACTACCAAACTTTTCCATCTGAATGTATCCTAGAGTTACTCAAGTGTTTTGAGATCAGAAGACCATTCTCCTTCACAAGGAATACAGACCTACTGAACACTGCATTAAAATCCTCAAAATTCCATAAATATTTTTAACCCTTGAGAGGATAAGAAAGATTTTAAGATTTAAAATATTTCCGAAATATGAAAAAAATTCAAGCATCAGATGCTGTAACATACATGTATGTGCCCCAAAAGATTTATTTTCTAAAATTAAAAACATTCCTCAGTCCTTCGGGTGAGGAGTACACACTCCTAACATGTGCCAAACAGCTTCTGGATTTGTTCCCAAATTCAAAGCCTCCAGGGAAAGACATTCTGTGGTCCTGCTACAAAGAGTTTTCCCAAAAGCACTATTATGGACAGGGACAAATAAGTACTTCTCAATGAAGGTAAGACGAAAATGCAATTAGACAGTAAAGACAGCGCCAGCACCATATTCCAAAAAGGCAATTAATTTCCAGTAGAAGTGACAGGCTTGTGAGTCATGCACATTTTCTATCCAATGCCACTCACAGAACTCAACCTGCAGAATAAATGATATGGACTCTCCTGTTTCTTTATCCCTATCCGCCCTTTACTTTTTTTTTTTTAAGTTTTATTAAAGAACACTGGTTTATAATATATGAGTTTTAGTTGTACATCATTATAAACAATTCTGCATATACTATATTGAGTTTACCACTAAAAGTATAACCCCATCACACAATGATTAACTTCCCCTCCTTCTTTATCACACAATGATTAACTTCCCTTTCTGGTAACCAATAACAGCAACTACCTTTTAAACACTGGGACCCCTCTACCATCTTCTCTTCTCATAGTGGACACTGCCTCCAGATGATCTTACTTAATCCCATGTAGTCATATATGATATGTCAATCACTGACTGCCAAATTGACATCACCAGCTATGATATCTCTTCTAAGCATCATACCCACATTCCTAACTGCCTCCTGGCATTACAAGTTCCTCAAATACAACATGTCTCAAACTGATTACCTAACCATCCCCATCTGAATACCTAACCATCCCCTAAAGCCGACCCCCCTCCTTCCTTTTCTGTGTAAATAAAGGGCACACTTTAAATTTACTCAGTCATACTGAGTCAGGCTAGTTTTGGCCATCCTAAATCTTTCCCTTTATTCTCCATCCTTTACCTAGGCATTTACCAATAATCAACATGATTGATCAGTAGAATCATCAACCTATAAAAAGTCTTAAGGCAAGCTCTGCAATCAGTCTCTTTTACTTCCAATCTTACAACATCTAGTACAATCTCCAAGCTGTACACAGTGTCATCTTTTTTTTTTTTTAATAAAGATTTAACTTATTTATGCATACAGAACTGAGGTATAGGCCAAAGGCTCAAGGATGCTGACAGGATTCACCAGAGACAGAGTGGGGAGCAGAACAGGCAGATCAACGAAGCACACTGCTGAGGGGAGCAGCGGGAGGGTCAGGAGAGGTCTGTCACGCCATGTGGTCACCTCCCCGGCAGGACCGTACTCATGCTGAAGTGGCTTTAGCTTCCTACTGCTGTGCTTTAACCCACTGCACCACCATGGAGGGCCCAGCACTGTCATCTTTTTTAAAATACAAACCTAACTGTGTAACACTATTACCTAAATTAGAGCAACAGATTCCTGAGATGCCAGTCACCTCATTGATGATGTTACTTCTGCTGCCAATCATGCTGTTACCTCCTTTTGCCCCTTTGCCTCCTTGATGAATTTTGGACCAACTTCTACAGCAAGCTAACCTACATCCTCCCAGAGAGTTAAATACTTCCCTTCTATGTTCTCATAAAGCCTTAGATCTCTCTCTGTATATATGCCTCATTCATAATGCTGTGAACCCCAAAAGGCAGAGCCATTACCTTTTTGTTTAATGTACTTGACAAAGACCTATATCAAGGAAGGAGAAGGAAGGAAAAAAAGGAAGGTAGACATGAAGGAAGAGAGAAAGACAAGATCTGAAAAAGCTTCAACAAAAATAATTATTTAAAAATAGGAACATAAAATACAATTTTACAAGTAAACAACATACCCTTCCAAAAAGAACAATGGAGTTAAACTCTATCCACCATGAACACTTTGAACAATACTGAATAGGCTCAAAATGACCTTCAAATAATTGTTAACAATGTATGAGATACTATCACAGAACCATTTGAGAAAAAGTTTTACTGCTTGTTTTTTGTAAATGACTATAATTAACGCTTCATGGCACTTACTCTCGAATACATCACTATATCTTTCTCATCCTACATTACAAACTGTCCCAAGGTAGAAACATCCTAAGAACCCACATGTAGGTAGCAAGGAGCCTGTTGGTATCCTGAAAGATAAGCAATTAATTGGCTCCCTGGACTCCCACCTTCTTGGACTAAGTCGTCTGCAGTGTTCACTCCATGCTCTATGAGCTTCTGGCAGTCATCTAGTGGTTTAATGGTCTCCTGTTCAATGCTGTCTACCTCTTGTAAAAGGGTCACCAATCGCTCATCCAGGAGCTTTCCCAGGGTCCCCTTTAAATCATTAAAATGTTGTTTGAGGACATCTCTTGTCTGTGATGCACTCTCTTTGATCTGAAAAGTACAAAAAAACTCAGAGTCAGAATCTTAGAAAAAGCTAATCAATAAGCATCATCCATAATAATCTCAAGGTACAACATAGCTATTCATCTTTTCCTCATTGATTAACAGAATGAGATTCAGTTGCACAAACTTGAAGACCTTTATAAAATTGGCCTTCCCATGAGAAAGAATGGGCTCAAACCCTAGTCCCATCATTCCATTTGGTTAATTTAAGCACCTCCATAATAATGCTTATCTTGTGGAGTTGTTGTGAGGGTTAAGTTAAAAGTCTATGTACTACACTTGGTAAAATCACTGGCACACTGCTGTTCTCAATAAATAAATGTTAGAAATTATTATTATCTGCCAAAAATAAGTCTTGGCAACAGTATGTTTCTACACACTTTTTTAATTAGGACCCCTCCTAATTAATTAAAATTCATTTTGCTGAAAAGAAGTAAAGAAATGGTAGATTAGAAAACCAGAATACAAAAAAAAAAAGCAATTTCATGGAATAAAATGCCCTCAATATGATTTAAAAAAGAAACTAAAAATTGATTTAAAATCCAAAGAGGTTTACAGAAAGCAGAGAAAGTCCATATAAAGGGTAACTTTGGGGTAATGATTTCATCTTTTTGTTGTTATTTTTCACTTAATCCTTTTTCAGCTATGGTCTTTTTTGTAAATATCAAGAATAGGTTTATAGCCCCTCTTCTCAGAAAGACGAATAACCCAGACCCTAAGATTCCATTTCAGAGGTCATAAAGTGCTTCAGATCTCAACCATGGCTTGTCTAAAGTAAAAATTCTAATAATTGGTTTGCAGAAGAATTACATAGGCTGTCTGTTATAATTCAAACTGGAGGGCTCCATTCCAAACCCACTAAACTAGAAGTCTGGAGGAATATATGGATGGAATTCTTGTTTTTTTATAAGCCCACCTGTGATTTCACAACCCACACTCTGAGAAACACCCTCATTGCACAGAGTCCAGACTAAGAGCCAGGCTTCCAGCAGTTACAACAGGAAAATCTCTACGTCTCACATATATTTTGAACAATACAGATACCGTATCTTATTTAAATAATACAAATAACACACAATCACTATCTCTTTCATTATAGGAAAGAAAATTCTAACTATAAGCCAAATGCTGCTTCAATTAAAGCAAACACACTTTACTTTGCAGATATTATCTATTAATGTCATATTAGTGTCATATGACACATTATAATTACTACCCTAAATTATATTTACTACCCTAACTTGTTTGCTATTTTTAGCTTAAGAAGAGCCTTTGGAGTCCAAGAAAAATTCACCAAAAAATAACGTCTCAACAACCCTCCTTGTTGGCCCAAGGGATTAAGTCTCAGCACTGAGAGGCTATCCGCAGCCATTATGACACAAGTTCGACCTGCAGCCCCAGAGGTGACCTACATGTTACAGCAGACCTCTGCTGTCTTGCCTGCTGCGCCCCTCAGCAGTATATTTAAGTAGATCTGCCAGTTCTGCTCCCAACACTCTGTCTCTGGTGAATCCTCTCACCGTCCCCTCACCTTTGGCCTGCACCCCAGCTGTTGTATACATAAATAAATCTTTTTAAAAATAGTATCTCAAAAGATGGATAAAAATACAATCTTTCAACAGTTAATAGAGAAATTTAGAAAGTTTTCTGATTATTCTCTAATACTAGATTTTAAAAGCAGAATACAAAATTGTTTTCAGAAATGTTCACAATCAAATAAAAACTCACCCCCAAGGACTACAAAGAAAACACAGGGGTTAAAAAAGAAAATAGTTTGATTGGCTGGGGTGAGCAGATCATGGAAACATTTTTCTCTTTTAACATTAACATAAATTACAATGGTATGTGTGTGTGCAGTAAGTAAAAGAATTCCTTAAATCTTAATAAAAAAAGAAGTCCTAATTTAAGTTTTTTAATATATTTCCGTAAAGTTACAAGAAAATCTCTATGAAATTCACTGGCCAGTAAATACAGGGAGGGATAATTCAAAATGTACTTGATTTGGCTCAGTCTTGAAGTACAGCCCAAACATACATAGAACTCGGTAAATATAGGTTGTTGAATAAAAATGAAGTCAGCATATGCTTGTAAACATTTTTAAATGAACCAGGGAAAGAAATGCCTTCTGATTTCGATCCATCACCTGTAATACTGATTGCAGTGCAGACTCTCAGAACTCACCCAGAAGTACTGAATCAGAAGGTGAATTTTTAACAAGATCCCCAGCTAACTTACATAGATCTTACAGATACAACATGCAGGAGTCTGCTCCCAGGACAAAGAGGAAATTCTGCAGTTAGCACTACACAAACCAAGTCTTCCTTCAGTCTTTAACGGATACAGCACATAGAGGAAGTGTATTAGTTAGGTAAAGTCAATTTCCTCTTTAGAAAGAATTCAAAAACCTCCTTCAGCTGTTGCAGAGTCTCACTAAGTTTTGTTTTTCAGAACCTCAGAGAAAAAAAAGGAAGTATGTGAGCAAAATGCAGAGAGAGGACCAGGGAAGGGAGAATCTATTTCCAAATCCCCCTACTGTACTTTCATTATAAATTTGGTCCATTTTGTTCACAGAATCCTAACTGTTCTTTGAAATTTAATACTACCTCGGTACGATTCTCTTCTTCCTGAAATAGTTCATAATTTAAAACCTCAGTCACCTTTAATACAATTATGTAATTAATTTTAGAATACAAAGTTCAAAAGCTCTTTTTTTTTTTTTTAAAGACTGCTCATCTGTGTCAACACAGGCATCTCTCTTTTTCCTTTCCTTAATAAATTTGCTGTGTGCTGATGGGGAAAAAAAACACGAACTTCACTACTGAGTAAATTTCTTCACATTTGTTGTGGTCCAATGTGTTCAATGTTAGCTCATAAAATCTTCACAACTCTTGAAAAGTGGGCCCGTAGGGCTCTGTTAGGGAAATGAAGCTAACAGAAGTCAAATAACTCTCCAAGGCTTCATGCACCGAAAATAATCTGACTCCAAAACAATCTGACTTTCCACTGCACCAAGCTGTGGAAGATTGACATCCCACTTTAAAGCATTTCCAGATAAATCTATGATTTTTATATTGACTGAAGACACTAAAATTAAAGAGTAGACAACCAATCAGCCCCAAATGCCACCTAGGCAAACCAGGACACAGCAACTGTGATAGTTTGTAGCAAAAGAGATATAAGAATACAAATGCTACAAACCCAGGTCTCAAAGAGAATCATAACATACACTGTTTATGAGTGATATTCTGAACATATTTTGCACTAAAGTCAAATGAAACAAACCATCAAAACTTATTTACTAAGGTTCTACTGTAGCTTTGAAACTAACCCCAAAGCAACTGTATTTTAAAAAATTTTAACAAGTGGATGAACTCACAGAATGCCAAAGTCATCATGTTTATACATCAATATTAAGCCATATATAAAGCCTAAAAAACAGTTCACAGTTCTCCAAGACAATAGTAATTAATACACTTCTCCAGAGTTTACTAAAGTCATAAAATCCATGTTCAATTGGATTTAAGAATATCTTTAATCTTAAGTGATATATATATATATATATGTATATATGATTATATCATAATATATTGAGTATTTCAGGAAATTAAGAACTGGAATCCCTTCTATTTCCCCTAAAAGTGCCATTTTCATTGATTTTACTTTTTTAAAGATGTATTTTATTTATGCATGCAAGAGGTGTCTGAGTGGAAGTGTGGGAGATTCACTAAAAGAAAGAGTGGGGAGCAGAACAGGTGGATGAACTGAAATTCACTGCTGAGGGGAGCAGCAGGTGGGACAGGAGAGGTCTGCCATGCCATGTGGGTCAGCTCCCTGGCTGGGGACGGAATTCATGCTGCAGTAGCTCCTGATAGCTTTAACCCCTTGAGTTACCAGGAAGGCCCTTCATTGACTTTAGAAAGACATCCTCCAAGTTTAACAGGAAAATTTAAACTAATTTAGTTTTAACAGTAAAACTAATTTCAGGGTCTCCCTGGTGGTGCAAGGGGTTAAGTCATAGCACTATGAAGCTATCCACAGCCACTATTGCACAAGTTTGATCCTCAGCCGGGGAGCTGACCCACATGTAGCAGCAGACCTCTCCTTCCCTGCTGGCTTCTCCCCTCAGCAGTGTATTTCAGACAATCTGCCTGTTCTGCTCCTCACTCTGCCTGTGATGAATCCTCTCATACACTCCCCACCCCCACACCTTTGACCCATAACCCAGTGCTTGTATGCATAGATAAATAAATCTTTAAAAAAAAAAAAACAACAACTAATTTTGAGGTCATATTTCAATTCTACCACAACCCTATGAAGAAAGCAACTGTAGATGATTAACACAGGAGTCAGAGAAATGAACTCACCACATCACAAAGCTAGTAAAGTGGCTGAAGCTTTTAATTCAATCTGACTGACATGGGCTAAATGGCCCTGCTATATTTCCTTCTTAACTTACAGTTAGCTTTTTTGGGTTTTGAATATTTGAGAACTTTAAAAAGAAAATCTTTGTTATGTGATTTGGCAGCCTGTTATATTAGTGGCCTCCAATGAACCAATGCATATGCCCCAATGTATCCTGGTATCTATCCTTCCCCCTAGAACATAGGCTGGATTTGTAACTGTCAGTGCAATTATACATGCACAACAAGAGTAAAGTAGGGTCCTCCCTGGTGTTATAAGGGTTAAGTCTCAGCACTATGAAGCTATCAGCAGTCACTGCAGCACAAGTTCCATCCCAGCCAAAGAAGTGGCCCACCTGGTATGGCAGACCTCTCCTGATCCACCCACTGCACCCCTCAGCAGTGTATTTCAATCAATCTGCCTATGCTGTTCCCCACTCTGTCTCTGGTGAATCCTTTCACGCCCCGCACATCTGGCCTGTGCCCCAATTCTTGAATACATAAATAAATAAATCTCTATATAACGGAACAGGTGAGAAAATAATGATAATGATGAACAGCTATATACCAGAGATATTTTGTGGGGGT